AATTTTGGATTTTCAGTTATAAAAAAGATTCTCAACCGAAAAATACCCCAAAAATATAGAAATCTTCAGATAAATTACATAATACATCTGAATACATAAATTATATTAATTAAAAAAACTTATGAATACATTCATGGCATATAGCGAGACAGTGAATACAATAAAATACATAGAATGCAGCGGGATACATTGAAATACAATGAGAAAAAAAGACAGTGAATACAATGAAATACATGGAATACAACAGGATACATTGAATTACAATGGAAAAAAAGATAATGAATACAATGAAATACATGAAAATACATTGAAATGGTATCTATAGATGGCTAATACTACTAAAAGATAGTGCTTTATGAAAATTTCTCTTATTATTACTCAAGCCAAACGGCCCACTACACTCCACTAAATATGAGAGCAGGAAATTAGTTAACAAGGCAGCAATGGCGCTGATGTCCAATTCTTGCAAGATAGCATCACCTTCATTGTGTTCCGCTATGTTACACCCGAACCCAAATCCTCGCCGTTCATTCGTGGACGATCCCCACCAGCTCGAAGCTATTTTCCAGAAAAAGCAGTTATTCCGATCCAAAATTCGTAAAGAGCTGAAGAATTCCTGTGGAAGGAGGAGGAGATCGGAAATTTTAATGAGATGGGGGAAGAGAATGGGATGTATCAAAGTAGAGAGAGAAAGAAAAAAGTCTAACTGATTAGCGTATTTAGTGGCTTAGGGCTAGGAGGTAACCAAAATTAAATATTTTGCTATAAACCTTAAAAGGTATCTATACAATATAATTTTTTTAAATGGTATTTATTTAAAATAAATAAGATGTTAACCTTTACTATAAGAGGTAAAAATTCCAATATTAAATGGGTCCAAAAAAAATATATGGCATGCATATAGCCACTTGTTCACTTTGTAAAACACCGTTGGATACTCATTTAGTTGTTTGTGCCACGTTAACATTTACGTTGATATTCATTTATTTATTTATCTGTATCTATATCTATCTATACTATATTAAAAGCACGAAAGTTCTTAGCAAAATGTAGTTCACCTTTTTACCCTTTAATAAAAATAAGTTGTACATTGTATAAAATGGTCATTTACTTATCTTCCTATTTAGGACTTTTAAATCATCTAAATTTTATTTATATGAAGATTTTACCTTATATAAATCGATCACATTAATTATGGTACAACTATAACTATACATTTTCTAATATTAAGGGGATCAAGGAATAAAAGAGGCTGATCGTTACCATAATTTAATGTTTTCAAATTTCCTTTCTACTAGGAGTTTTCAAACTCGCTTAACTTGATCTTTTCATGTTTCTATTTTATTTAAATTTTTATTTTATGAGAATAAATCATAATAGCACATATAATAAGCTACTTGTTATAAAATATTTAGTAAGTGTGGATGTCCACTACTCCCACTACTTTCACCCATGATGTAAATTACCTCCCACTACTCATCACCATTATGATTGTAACTCCCACACCTCCATAACCCCTCCCCATGATCTTCCCCCATGATCTCAATTGTTAATGTCATGTTTAAGATAATAATTTTGTAACCTTCATATGTAATAGTATAAATAGAGGCATGAAATGTGAGATGGAATACACTTGAACACTTGATGAAATAAGAAAGTTATCTCTTCTTCACTTATTCTACTTATCTTCTTGTTTTATATTGTTACTTTGAGCTACATTTTTTAACACGTTATCAGCACGAAGTTGAGATCTTTTCGTTGTTCAGGTATATTTGTTCATTTTATTTTTCGTTGTATATTTTGATTTCATGATTAGTGTCTTTAATATGCCGTTTTATAATTTCTCACATCCCTAGATATATGTAAAAATAAAGAATTCTATGTTTCTTTATTTTAAGTTTTTTGCATGATTGTCATGTGAAAGTTGCTAATTTTTATGTTAATAGAATTAATTGAGAGAAGATATTTTGTTCTAGTTAACATCAAAGATATACTAATAATTTGAAAAAAAAAAATAGTATTCTTTTCTATGGAATTATCACTTTAGTGTATATATAGATCACAAATTTGATATTATGTCAATTTTTAAGATTCTTTATGCTATTATCCTAATGATTTCTAATTAGTTATCTTCTTTGATAGTTTTTACTATGTCGAATTTGTCAAAGCTTGAGTTTGTGGCACTTGATATTTCTGGAAAGAATTACCTATCATGGGTTCTCGATGCTGAGATTCACTTAGCCGCTAAAGGCCTTGGTAACACCATTACTCAGGGTAATGAGGAATCAAGCCAGGACAAAGCGAAGGCCATGATTTTCCTCGTCATCATTTGGATGAAGGTTTGAAGGTTGAATATTTAACAGTGAAAGATCCACTTGAACTGTGGACTGTCCTGAAGGAAAGNTAGAGCATGTACCAACTAGGAAGTTTTGTTCCATCAATACAACATATACTGAAAAGGTTTTAAAGTTAGATTTACTATGGATAATGCACATCCATTGAGTACCCCAATGGTTGTGAGATCGCTTGATATAAATAAAGATCCATTTCAGCCTCAAGAAAATGATGAAGAGCTCGTTGGTGATGAAACTCCATATCTTAGTGCAATTGGGGCACTGATGTATCTTGCCAACAATACTCGACCAGATATTGCTTTTGCAGTGAGCTTATTAGCAAGATTCAGCTCCTCCCCAACAAGAAGACATTGGAATGGTGTTAAGCATATATTTAGATATCTTCGGGGAACCATAGATATGGGATTGTTTTATTCTAATGAATTCAAGTCAGAAATGATTGGCTATGCCGGTGCAGGTTATTTGTCTGATCCACATAAAGCCCGATCTCAAACAGGCTATTTTTTACATATGGAGGTACTGCTATATCATGGCATTCAATGAAACAAACAATAGCTGCCACATCTTCAAATCATGCTGAGATAATAGCCATTCATGAAGCTAGTCGGGAATGTGTTTGGTTAAGATCAATGACTCAGCATATTCAGGAAATGTGTGGTTTTCTTATGAAAAAGGATAATCCAACAATACTATATGAAGACAATGCTGCTTGTATTGCTCAACTGAAAGGAGGATACATCAAAGGAGACAGAACAAAGCATATTTCACCAAAGTTCTTTTTCACGCATGATCTTCAACAAAATGGTGAAATTAATGTTCAACAAATTCGTTCATGTGAAAATTTGGCTGATCTGTTCACTAAAGCTTTACCAACCTCAACATTTGAGAAGTTGAGACAGAAGATTGGAATGCGACGTCTTCGAGAAATAAAGTGATATTTTCATGAGGGGGAGTAAGATACGCGCTGTACTCTTTTTCCCTTAGCCTAGGTTTTGTCCCACTGGGTTTTACTGGTAAGGTTTTTAACGAGGCAGCAAATAAAGCGTATTAGAGATATATGTACTCTTTTTCCTTCACTAAGATTTTTTCCCACAGGGTTTTTTCTTAGTAAGGTTTTAACGAGGCATATTATCTATTTTTTTGGACATCCAAGGGGGAGTGTTATAAAATATTTAGTAAGTGTGGATGTCCACTACTCCCACTCCTTTCACCCATGATGCAAATTACCTCCCACTACTCATCACCATTATGATTGTAACTCCCACACCTCCATAACCCCTCCCCATGATCTTCCCCCATGATCTCAATTGTTAATGCTATGTTTAAGACAATAATTTTGTAACCTTCATATGTAATAGTATAAATAGAGGCATGAAATGTGAGATGTAATACACTTGAACACTTTATGAAATAAGAAAGTTATCTCTTCTTCTCTTATTCTACTTATCTTCTTGTTTTATATTGTTACTTTGAGCTACATTTTTTAACACTACTAAGTTTTTGATAATTGGAGTGTTGTTCTTACCAACTAACGGTATTTGGTCACCTTTTATATTCATTAAAAATGGATTTACACAAGACGAAAACATAAAAATTCGTTTACTAAATCTTTCTTTATTAAAATTATAATGATCCAAATTTACGGACCTTATAAACTAATATTTATACCATATGTTTTTTTATATAAAAGAAAAAATAAAGGATAAAAGAAAATCTTTATAGAATAATGAAGGCGGCAAATATCTCTAAGATTAAAATTGTGGCTAATTATCCATAAGCAAAATCAACCGCCGAGGAAAAAGATCACTAACTTTTAATTTACACACAAAGTAATCATAGGCTATTTTTTATATTTATTTTAAAAATCCAATACATTTTTTAATAATGTAGTTAAATTACTTTAATATTTGTTCATTAAATTAGGGTTCATGCGCAAAACGTGTCCTATGCGAAAGTCGTTTTCTTTTTTTTTTTTTACTCTTTAAAAATTAGGTTCACATTGAATAAAATTGTAATTTAGGTTATCTTCCTAATATTTTGAATACTACAATAAAATTTTAATTATTAATTTTACCTTATTGAACTAGGTAGAAAGTCTTAATATGAAATATTCTCTTTTTTATTGCATGGCCCGTAAACTATCTAATATACATGTACTTGAAGTAAACTAATACTAGAAATATTTGAATGATATTCCAATATAGACACGTTGATGATTTTTTTTTTTTTTTTGGGTAACTAAATTTTTGTATTAATCACCTTTGAAACTTTACAAAAGCATAGCTAATCAACACAATTAGCTATCTAAATTCTATCTTACCCTTAAGTCTCTACTATGTACAAGAAGTTCTCAACTGAAAGAAACAGAAAACTAGAAGCTTAAAACACAAAACTCTGCAGCAACTCCTTAACTCTAGGTCCTGCTCTTACATAGCAGGTATAAGCTATTTCTCGCACAATTGTTTCCTAGTTTCTATAGTTCTTTTCAAACACTCTATGATTCCTTTCCATCCTTATAGCATATATACATTCAGCATATACCAGTTTGAAGATTTGAGCTTGTTGTGATTTCCCTTTGGCACTTTGAATAGCCCAGTCAATATGTTGATTCCATATTTCTGTTGTTTGCTTCCTTTGTAGCCAGTTCTACATCTTCATCCATATAGCCTTAGCAAATTCACATTCAACGAACAGATGTTCCCTTGTTTCCAATTGTGTCTGACACAATGTACATGTTGTGTCCATTGTTAGTCCCCATCTCACTAATCTATCTGTTGTAGCCAATCTTCCCTGTAATTGTAGCCACATTATGAAGATTTCTTTAAGTCTAGAATCATTCTTGAACATAAGGCATTTCCAAGTTGCTGGCCTCATTTCAGGGAGAACTTGATGGTAAATAGAATGTTTCAAACTCCTTGTAGTCTTGGTAGCAGGTATCAAGTGTAACTGTTTCTTAGCTTCCAATATCTTCCTAGTAATCCAACTTGCTTGTGCTGGGATTGATGTCTCCATCAATGGCTTACCTTTGTCATAGTAAGCATGAATCCATCTAATCCACAACTTATCCTGCTTATGAGCTACATCCCAACATGTCTTGATTTGACCAGCTTGATTCCACAGCTTTATGTTGATAATGCCTATCCCCCCTATTGACTTAGGCACGCATACTCTACCCTATGATACCAAAGCTTTCCTAGTGATTGTGTTGCTTCCTGACCATACATAACTTCTGCAGTAAGCATCTACAGTTTTCAGAACCTTTGCAGGAATAAGGAATAACTGAGCCCAGTATGCTTGAATTCCAAACAGCACAGATTTGACTAATTGAATTCTTCCTGCATAGGACAGTTTTTTTTATGACCATGAGGTAATTCTAGATATCATCATCTATATTAGTGGTTGCCATTGCATTAAAGTGATCTTCTTTGTTGATAGAGGCACTCCCAAGTATTTAAAAGGCAGACTCCCACGAACAAACCCCAAATGGTCCAGTATACTATCTTGAACTTCCTTCTTAACTCCTCCAAAATACACACCTCTTTACAAGATTAGCTTGCAATCCTGAAGCTTCAGAAAATTGCCTGAAACACTTATAGAGAGCATTAATAGAAGATAGGTTTCCTTTGGCAAAAAGCAGCAGATCATCTGCAAAACTAAGGTGTGTAATACCTAGTTTTGCACACTTTGGATGAAATTGATATAGCCTATCTTCCTTAAGTTCATTAAGCTGCCTACTTAAATACTCCATAGCTATTGCAAATAGAAAAGGAGATATTGGATCTCCTTGTCTAAGTCCTCTAGCTACGTTAAAAGGCTCACTTAGTTCACCAACAACCATCACAGTATAGTTGAGTATTTGAACACACTCATTATCCAAAGAACAAATTGATCTGGAAACCCAAGCTCAATAAGCATCTGTCTCATAAAAGGCCATTCAATAGAATCATATGCTTTTTGTAAGTCAATTTTTATCATGCATCTAGGAGATATATTCTTCCTTGTATAAGCTTTAACTAGCTCGTGAGCAAGAATGATGTTGCCAGCTATTTTCCTCCCCGGGATAAACCCAGCCTGGGCTACACATATGATATCTGGAACCACTTCTTGCAATCTGGAGGCTAGTGTTGATACCCAATTTTTCCCTGTATATTTTTTATATATACAAAATACTTTTAAAATAACATATATATGCATATATAAGCATGCCCAAGTGTTTTAGTATCTTTCCTAATTTCTAAAAGATTTTTAAAATCAATTTATTGCCCATTTTAGTAGTATAAAAACCAATCATTATTCCTAAAATTATCATTTTGGCGGATAATTTGTTTTATTTCCTATATTTATACCAAAATATAGTTAAGGTAATTTTTGTATATTTTTTTACAANTAAGCTCTACCTCGATCTGCATTTCTCTGCATTGCATAAGGCTACCTCTCTGTCTTCCGAGGTTACGCTCTACCTCCATCTGCATTTCTCTGCATTGCATAAGGCTACCTTTCTGCCTTCCGAGGTTAAGCTCTACCTCCATCTGCATCTCTCTGCATTGCATAAGGCTACCTTTCTGCCTTCCGAGACTAAGCTCTGTCTCCATCTGCATTTCTCTGCATTGCATAAGGCTACCATTCTGCCTTCCGAGGTTAAGCTCTACCTCCATCTACATCGGCTGAAAGATCCATTGGCTGAAAGATCGCCATTTTTTACATTCTTGCACCGGCTGAAAGATCGCCATTTTATTTACATTCTTGCATCGGCTGAAAGATCGCCATTTTTTTTTTACATTCTTGCATTGGCTGAAAGATCGCCATTTTTTACATTCTTGCACCGGCTGAAAGATCGCCACTTATTGCATTGCATGGGCTGGAAGATCGCCAAATTGTCCAAGGGCGTCATTGTTCGGAGGCACCATTTACATAGCCCGAGAATGTCATGCCATGGCCTGAGGACCCCATTTTATCTTTTGCATAGCATTATTCAAATGCATCATGGTTCAGAGGCATCATTCTCATAGCCCGAGAACATCATTTCATAGCCGGCGAATCCTTTATTATATGTTTCATGGCCCAGGACGTCATGGTCTGAGGACATCATCTTAAGCGTCCAAAGACAGCATTCATGGTGCAACGGGAACTTGCATCACGTTTAAATTTATTCACAATATATGTTCGTATTGCTCATTTGCAGGTAAACCGGCTAGCAACGGCCATCTCAGCAGGAGCGATCCCGCTCCAGTTCCCGCAGCCCTACTAGACTATAACCATCCACCCCAACCTGAATATCTCGTCCGTTCTTGAAAAAATCTCCATCGACATATTCCACCGACGGATCCTGAACTACATATGGCCTGATTCCTGTAAGACCAAGGATATGTAGGCAGCTCAGGAACCAGAGCACGGTCAAATTGGCCATCATATCTTTACCCGACAACTCTTTCATCCTTCCCGGGTAAAGAGGGGCAGCTGTTGATACCCAGTTTTTCCCTATATATATTTTCAAAATAACATATGCATGCATATATAAGCATGCCAAAGTGTTTTAGTATTTTTCCTAATTTCTAAAAGATTTTTAAAATCACTTTATTGCCCATTTTAGTAGTATAAAAACTAATATTTATTCCCAAAATTATCATTTTGGTGGATAATTTGTTTTATTTCCCATATTTATACCAAAATATAGTTAAGGTAATTTTTGTATATTTTTTTACAAATTTATTTGGTATTTTAAAAGCTAAATTGCATATAATTGCAATTTTAGCCTATTTTAAGATTATATTGCATTTTATAATTATAACTTTGGTTCCAATATTTTTAAATTAATATTTATACTGATTCAGTACTTTTAATTTAATTTCAGAATCATTTTTAATATTTTTTATAAAATAAAAAGGAAAAACTGGCTATTTAATACGTAGCCCCAATTTATTTCAATTATAGCCAAATTGACCCCTCGAATTGACCCAATCCTAAACTCCCAATTAGACCGGCCCAATCTCAGTTGTAACCCGACCCCCCGACCCAACCAATTAACCCGCCTGGCCTTTTCCTTTAATCCAGGTCGTTGAACGTTTTGATCAACGGCCACGATCACCCCTTACCATTTTTGATCCACCGACCATACCCTAATCCCCTCATTTCCATCTCTCAGCCGCCTTCAAACACTCTCCTCTCCCAAAACTCTCTCGAAGGTTCCTCGGAACCCTAGTCATCTTCTGCCCTTTTCAACCGCTCTTTCACCGGAATCTATGGCTTCTCAGGCCATGGATGGCCTGTACTCACCCCCCTCCACCTTTAAACCCTGGGTGTTCGAAGTTTCAAGGTTTGACCTCGATGGTGTTCTTTCAAATCTTCTCAGATCCATGGCCTTGAGGCCTCTCCGGCCTCGCTCCGGCGTATCCAAGCATCAGGAGCCTATTTCTGACCTCTCCGACTCAAGATCGGACTTTCTTCCAAGCCTTTCTCATTTCTAGGGTTTCTCTGAAACCCTAAGCTATTCGAGGTTTCCTATGGTTGTTTTCATAGATCTATGTTATATATGTGTTCTACTGGAGTTTTAAAACGTTTTCCCCAATTTTTTCTTTCGAAATTTGTTTCTCTTCTATTTAGGGTTTCTGAAAAAGTTTTAAAATATTTTCTGACTCCTCTTCTTCTTTTCTTTGTGTAAATCTGTCTATGCTATGTTTTTATGTTCTCTTTTCTACCTCGAATGTCCTTCTCCTGTGTTCTTATGTTTTCCTTATTATGCATATTCTTCTATTGTGCTCCGTTCTTTCTTCTATTGGTTTCTATATCATGCTTTCACACGTTTATCTTATGTGTTCGTTTACCCCTGTGTTCCTTTACTGTATTTTCTATTAAGCTCTCAGTTCTTTATTTGCCTTCTTCTGGACTTTGTTTGAGTTCTTTCTAAACATGTTTCATCTACTGTTTCCTGAAGTTTATACTACCTCTTTGTCTTCTGAACTTGTTTAAGTTCCAAGCTTTTCTTAAAACATGTTCTTTATGCTTCAAATCAGCTTTTTCACTATGTTTGTTTCAAACCTGCTATTTTACCTATTTGTTTTCTCATGAGTCTCTGAAAGAGAGCTCTGAGCCTGTTTCAGTTATTTGTCTTCTCGTCTCTGCATCTGATTCGAGTTGAAGACCCTAGGATTTGGGGTTTTTGGCGAGTTTAATCTTGTGTTTGGACTAGGGTTCTATTTTAGAACCCTGGACTCTCAACTCGTTCTGAGTCTATGCACTGAGCTTGAACTCCTTTGTTTGTGACTCTGAACTTTTCTATACTAGATTCTTTCTAATTAGCATGACAGTTCTTTCTTGTTTGACATGTCTGTATGCTTTATATATGAGGAATTCATCCTTCAAAAAAGGTTTTGCCAATTTGTGATTGAATCAAAATTCCTTTTAATAAGGTTCGATTGATTGTTACTGATTTTTTTTAATTAAACCTTTCTTCACATTTTCCGGTTAGATTCATTTATACCAAAACTCAATTTCTGATTTTTACTGGCTGTTGATTGATTGCCTTTCCTTATTTGCACAAACCGTGTTGCTATCAAACTCTTTCCTTAAATAGTTTCTGTGTATTTGCCCTTCATGTACTACTTTGGAAAAGATTTTGATCAAATTCTTTCCTTATTTATTCTGCCCGTTTGAAATCAGAATCCCTTAATTAAAGGGACACCTTATGTAATTGATTCCAAAACTATTTTCTTACCTTTTTCTTACTTGCTTTCTGCACTATAAAGGGCACGACCTTTCAGCACTTTAAGTTACCTGGAGTTCAATACTCTAACACACATTACTTACTTTCAATTTCAATACTCTTACACTTCACTCAACACTCTACTCTCTTCTGAGATATTCTGACTATTTGCTTGCAATTTGGCTTTACAAGACAACTGCTTTTACTTTCTTGTTTCCCTGAAACTGGTATGTTCTAATTTAAGATTCAGCCTCATCCCAATGTGTTTATTTCACAGCTTCTATCATCCTGTCTACTTTGTTGTCTATGCTTAGTGTTAAATATGTATGTTGCTCTCTTTGCATCTGTTTTCTGCTGTGAATCCCCTTACCCATATTCTCCTATGTGTGTTTGAGTTAAGGTTCAGGCATGGCAGCATCCAAATTATTGTTCATGTCTGTGCTTGATCCTTTAAAGGATCCTAACTCCCAAACAATGTGGCTAACAGGCTAGTTGGGGTGTGCCAGCACTTCCAATTGCTGGGTATGACCACCAGCCTGTCTTGGCTTTCCCCCTAAATCCCCTTCTGCACCTACACTCACTCTTAGATTCTAAGTTCTGCCCCCCTCCTATGAGCCTTGCCTTGGGACCTCGAGCTCCCTCTGAACTTGGACATTTGAGGGCTGGCCCTTCCACACAGCACTATAAATCAATTCTACAATGTGTTTGGGTGTAAGCACTGCCGGAGTCCACTTGAGACTCTTAGGGAACTTTGACACATCTCAAATAAGAGAAAGGCTTTGGAAATTGGATCTTTGGAGTTGGTTTATTTCATATTTCAGACCTGGCGTCTGAATTAGGCTCTCCTTGGTTGTACTCTAATTTCTTATGTAATTTTACTCTTCTTGATTTGTTCTGGTTTGTAATAATTTTGTAATAACTTATGGGGGTTTTATTGAAAAGGGAAGGGACACTCATGTATGCATAAGGGTAGACATCATGCTCTTAGGTATTTACCTTTGCAATCGTATCCTGCTTTCATTTCTGCATTCTCGAAATCCTGCCTATAGGTTTTCTGCACTTCTGCATTTTAGAAATCATGTCTATAAGTTCTATCTTTCATACATAGATATCGTATCAATAGTTCCTGCATTACTGCATCTCATATAGAGAACATGTCAAATGGATTCTCCATTTCTTCATCTCATATAGAGTACATGTCTATAGGATTCTGCATTTCTGCTTCTCATATAGAGAACCTGTCTATAGGATCTCTTAAATTCTGCATAAACATCTATCACTAGTTTATAGGTTTAAATAACAAATTGCCTTCTAGATACCATGCCTATAGGACTCCTGCATTTCTATAAACTTTTTAAAACCAACCACGCTTAGAATGCATGCCTATAGGAGTAATCAACTGAATTTGAATCGTCTACAAGTCTAAAATCAGTGGTAACGATACTCAATACCTGGAGAACTTATTTTTTTATAATCAGCAAGCCTTCTTTAAAATCAGTGTACCCCTGCATTATTAGATAGCATGCCTATAGGTTTCACCTAGGCAAGCCATTAGGTAATTAATTAACTGCACCAGTCTTTGATAACTACAACCAGCAGGCAGGCCTAATTCGGACTTCTTATCTGAAAATATGTGATAAATCATCCTGCCTTAACGCTTTAAGATTAATTCAGACCATAACCGGTACGTGCAAGACATGCTAAACAATTTGTCTTTAAGTGAGGAGGCCTATCTGAGCCTTTTTAACTGTTATGTGTTTCCCATATCTGCTTTATGTGTTTTTGTTTGTCGCCTTAGAATTTTATCCTTTTAAACTCTGAAAAGCCCAAATCTCCCTCCCCTTTAGGACTAGTAGTCTCAAATTCCTCCGGGACTGATAGGATTTTTGGGACGGGTAATAGCATGCAATAAGTAACGAGACTATTCCGCGCTTTAATACCTTAACAGGGTGGGAAAGGGTAGATATGGATATGATGACCGGTGCGCTAATACTACGTGTAGCCCCTCTTCTGAGGAGTGATTACCGGGTATTGCACTGATGTGATCCATATTATTTGTAAACCTAGGACCCCCTTCCCTTTACTTGTTTTATTTTATTTTCAGAATTTTCCAACTATTTTCTCAAAATCTCAGCTTTTCTTTGTTTCTTCAAAACTTTAATTCATTTGCCTCCATATGTGATATTCCCTCATATTTGAAGCTTTTATTTTCTTACTTGTTCTTCGTACTTAAAGTCACAATTGTAGCATGGCCGGGAACCACAATAGTGGATCCTGAGGGGTGCCTAACACCTTCCCCTCGGGATAATTTCTAGCCCTTACCCAAACTCTGGTTTTCTAAATCAAATTCTTCCTAGTGTCCTAATGCACTTTAATCATTAGGTGGCGACTCTTCAATTCAAAATTCAATTCCCAAAAGGGAACGAGTTGTCCTCTTAAATGTCATAAACCCAATTTTGCGAGAAAAAGGGGGCGCGACAGCTAGTATTTTGGCAATCATTTTGTATATCACAATACAACATGCTATAGGTCTATACTCTTTCACTATAATTAGCTTAGCGGTCTTTGGAACTAGAGTAATAGCCGTACAATTAATTGGCATATACATTTTCCCAATTTTGAAGAACTCCTTAATAGCTTCAGTAACTTCTGCCTTCACATAGTCCATACTTGTTTGAAAAAGTAAGCATTGTATCCATCTACACCAGGTGACTTGTCATTCCCTATTGAGGATAGTCCATCATAAATCTCTTTTTCTGTCACTTCTGCACATAATCTTTGTTGCTGAGTGATGCATGGCCCTTTCCTGATAGTCTGCTTTTTAACTGCTGGCAGCACATAAGCTGTAGATCCCATCAAGCCTTTGTAGAAATTTACTATCTCTTCTCTGATTTCCTCTGGTTCAACAAGCTTCCTATTAGTGAGAGATGTGAGTTCTGTTATCTTCTTCCTTTGAGTCCTCTCTTTGATCAGTGCTAAAAAGTATTTATTATTGGAATCCCCTAACTTTATCCATCTTGCCTTAGCCTTTTGTTGTAAAGCACTTTCTTCTCCCGATGACCATTTCTCCAAAGACTGTATCAACTCTTTCTTTTGCAAGCAAGTCTGTATTATTTCTTAGATGTATTTGTTCTTGAGTAATCTTTAGATCCTGCCTTGCCTTCCCTATTTTCTGATTAATAGACTTGAACTCCTCATTATTCAGTCTCCTTAATATTGGTCTGAGACTTTTCAACTTCATCCATATGTTCTTCATCTTACTTGTGGATTATGTCTGCTGCCAGGCCTTCTTTACTATCTCCAAAAATTCTTTATGCTCAGCCCATATATTGAAAATTTTGAAAGGAACTTTGATGCTGCTATTAGAAGACACTATTGTTAACAACATAGGTGCATGGTCAGAAATGAAAGGCTCATCATACTGCATTATCAAATGCCCCCATGTCATCATCCATTCATGATTACCAAAGGCCTTATCTAACCTGCTATTTATTCTGTCATTGTTCAGTTGCTTATTTGACCAGGTATAATAGTCTCCTCTCCACTGGACTTCTGTTAGTAATAGTTCACGCATGCACTTAGAATATTCTTTAACTTCAGTATAAGTGATTGGATTGCCAAACATCCTATCATCTTGATACATTACTGCATTAAAATCTCCAGCTATAAGCCATGGTTTGTTCACGCCCATAGCTACATCTTTCAGGTTCTCCCATAATGCTCTCATGTGCTCCACAGCGTTAAAACCATACACTATAGTAAGATAACATTTAATATCTCCTATTTTACTTGTGATTTCACAATGAAATATTTGGGCTTCATCTCTCACCATTCTAACTTCACACCATTGTGGATCCCAGACCAACCAAATTCTACCATTCACTACAGCTTGGTAGTTATCATACATCTCCCATTTTGTTACTATTTTGTTGCTGATCTTCTTTGAATTGTGCTCCTTTGTTCTTGTTTCTATGAGTCTTGCTAGTCTAATTTTTTTTGTTTCAAATAATTCCTCAGCTCCTTTTGCTTATACCTCTTATTTATTTCCCTAACATTCCACATTAACCAATTCATTATATAGTTTTGGATCCCCTCCCCTCCCCCCCCCCCCTATCTAGAGGCAAGCCTTGATCTTCACTATGACCTCCATGTAGAACTCCAAAACTATGTTTTGTTGGTACAGAACATAGTATGGGAAAATTTTGAAGGTTGAATTCTAGACATGCAATAGCTTTCCCTCTACTCTTTTCTGCTTGCTTTTCTATTCTACTGGCATGGGTAATACTCTTCTCCTCATTTAATTGCTGGCTCTGTTGCTTGTTTTCCTTGGTTAGCTCTACTTGCTCTCCAATTGTTAGAGTTGTTTGCACATGACCTTTGTATCTCCATTCTTGTGTGATAGCTTTATTGTTCCTCTTTCTTTTATGTTGAGCATCCTTTTGCTTATCCCCTTTCTCCTTTTCCCTACATTTGTGCCCAACTATTTGACACACTCCACAGAAATCAGGTTTCCAATCGTATGTCACATGTCATTGGAAATACTTCCCTTTTGGATCAATCACTGTAATTTCATTAGGAAGTGGGCGACTAACATTTATTTCCACCAACATTCTCGCAAAGGATATCCTTGTTTGCTTTGTGGTACATTCATCTGCAAACACAGGAGTCCTTAATACACTTGCTATTCTACTCAAAGATTTATTGCCCCAGCAATTCATAGGCAAATTAGAAAATTTGGCCCAAAGTGGAATCTCAGTAGGAAATTCTTTACTGAAATCAAAGTCTGCTGACCATGGCTTCAAAATTATGGGTCGATTACTGATGATGTATGGTCCAGCATAATAAACAGCATGCATATCAGTTATAGAATTGAATCGGACCACATAATATCTCTCATCATGCAAATACAGTTCTGGTGTATCTATATTCAGCCAATTTTTGCTAATATACTTGTTCATAGTGTTGTACCCAGGTGTTTCTCCGATGATATAAGCAATTGGAGCACATTTTCACTTTTCTTCTTCTGGTTCTACTTCCTCCACTTCCAATTGCACCACAGTTTGACCATTAATAAATTGTGGTGGGATATAGGATAATGACATGCCATTAGTTGCAGATCTATTCCCTTTGAATAGATTTGTGCATGCACCCACCGGATTTGCTTCTTCTTCTGCTCGTTCAGCTAATTTCTGCATTGAATCACCGTTTCATTAGTTTTCACTAGAACTACTGTTTCATTGCCTTGCACTGCCTTCACCTCTGTAGTTCTCTATGGTATCACCTCTGTATTAGTCTTCATAGATTCCGTCATTTCCAGCTTCTTTGGCATCCCTCCAGTAGTTGATGTAGATCCTTTCTCCACAGATCTAATCTCCTCAGCCAATTGCACAGGGGAAGCCATTGTTGTTGTCTTAGGTGTTCCATCTCCTTGAATTCGAGCTCCAACTGAGCTCCCAAAAGCTACAATAGGTATTTTCCTAGGTCGTCCTCCTCCCCGACCTCTCGCTCCTGCCATGGCTACACCGGTGTATGTTTAGCTAATATGCGCTGAGAGCACGAGTGAAGGTAGAGAGAGAAAGCTTTTTTTACAGATCAATTGTTGTGACACGATGATGATCTTAAGATTATGCTAAGTTAACATAGTATAGATAAATATAATTTTTTTAGAGTTAGGTTATATTACTATATAAACTAATTATAATTATAATTTAATTTATTTTTTAATATATAGGACTTTAAAATCTATTACCTTACGTATATTCTTTCCTTATTTGAATTTTGTAATGCTACAACTAAATTAGGACATTGAAATCAACTAATATTTTATCTATTATGTCCTTCCCTATTTGAACTATTACCATTACGCAATTATTGTATTTCTTTTTATTTACGTTTAAAAGTATCTTTATATTTTGAAAATAATTTTATTTTATCTAAAACTAAATGTTACATTAAAAAATGTAATTTTAATTATTATTTTTTGAATATTTAAGATTTTAAAATCAACTAAAGATTTGATTATTAGATTACTTTTCTAAAATTTAGGATTTCTTTTTGAACCTTTTTGATTTTTTCAATTTATTTTAAACACGTAAGGAATGTTTATGCATGTTTTAGATTTAGTTCTTTTTCCTAATTAAAAAAATCAATATATATATATATATATATATATATATATATATATATATATATATATATCACCATTTCTTCTCTAGTATTCTTGTGTATGATGTGTAATTGAAGCTTTGAATAAACCATAATTGAGATTGAAATCATATCATATTTTTATTTATGATTCCTTTTTATGAACATTATCTTCTCAATTCTTAAATATCAATATTTTGTTATACAATTTATAGTATATATTTATGACTTTTCTGATACAAAATTAACTTACCGAGACAAGTCACACGCGCAACGCGCGTACCCGAAAACTAGTACTATATTAAAAGTACGAAGACCCTTAGCAAAATGTCGTTCACCTTTTTTATCCTTTAAAAATAACTTTCACATTAAGCGAAGTTATAATTTAATTATTTTTCTAATATGTAGAATTTTAAAATTAAATAAAATTTTTGTTATTAAATCTTTCCTTATTTGAACTATATAGAAATTCATAATATTTAGAACTATTGAAGTTTACTATAAATAAACAACTTTGACTTTTCTAGATCCATTTGCCCATAAAAAAACGTACTCCAAGATTTAGAAAAAGAAACTAATTCGAATTAAACTATAATTCCTTCAAAATGAGTAAGAAAGAAATTGTATGTACTTTTGCCTTTGAAATATGTTCGTTTCTGAAACCAAGCAGTAGCCAGGTGTAACGATCCAACCAGTCGTGTTGAACACTAGCGTGTGTTCGGCCGTTTGAGGCCATGAGCAGCTCCACTTCAGGTATTATGACTTGTACGCATGGTCGGAATTGAATTTCGGGAAGTTCGGAGTTGATTTGAAGAAAAAATTCTCATTTCGGAAGCTTTAAATGGAAGAATTGACTAAGGTTGGATTTTTGAGTAAACGACCTCGGAATCGGGATTTGGAGGTTCCAGCAGGTTCGTATGATGATTTTAAACTTGGGCGTATGTTCGGATCGGGTTTTGATGACCCGGAAGCATTTCGGTTCCTATTGTGGAAGTTGGCATTTTGGAAGAATCTCATAAATTTGGGTTGAAGTGCATTTTAATGTTGAACGTCCGTTTGGGATTCCGAGTCTGAGAATTGCTTCGTATGGCGATTCTGGTATTGGGAGCGCATCCAGAAGTGGATTTGGAGGTCTGTAGGTCATTTCAGGGTCATTTGGCGAAAGTTAGAAATCTGAAGGTTTTTGAGAAGTTTGACCGGAAGTGGACTTTTTGATATCGGGGTCGGACTCCGATTCCGAAAGTTGGAGCAGGTCCGTAATGTCGAATGTGACTTGTGTGATTTGAGGTCAATCGGACGTGATTTTACAGGTTTCGACATCGAATGTAGAAGATTGAAGTTCTAAATTTCATAAAGCTTGAATTGGAATGTGATTCATGATTTTTGCATTGTTTGATGTGATTTGAGGCCTCAAGCAGGTCCGAATTATGTTTCGGAACTGGTTGGTATAATTGGAGGGGGTCTCAGGGGCCTCAGGTGGATTCCGAGTGGTTAACGGATCAAATTTGGAAATTGAGGAAGAGCTGAGGCAGCTAGTATCTGGTGTAACCACACCTGCGAGGTTTTGGCCGCAGGAGCGGAGCCGCATAAGCGGCCAAGGGAGGTGCAGAAGTGAAGACCATCGCAGGTGCGCACTAGAAGCGACTTGTGCAGATGCACCTTTTGTCCGCAGGTGCGAGCTTTGGCTGGGCAGTGAGGATCGCAGGAGCGGGATTTTGACAGCACCTGCGGAGCCGCAGAAGCAGCTGTTGGTCCGCAGGTGCGAAAGTCGGCTGGTGTAAAGATTCGACTAATTGTTTTGAGCTCTAGAGCATCGTTCGGTAGTTTGAGGCCATGAGCAGCTTCACTTCAGGTATTACGACTTGTATACGTGGTCGGAACTGGAATTTCGGAAGTTCAGAGTTGATCTGGAAAGAGAATTCTCATTTCGGAAGCTTTGTGTTGGAAGAATTGACTAAGATAGAGTTTTTGAGTAAACAACCTCGGAATCAGGATTTGAAGCTTTGAGCAGGTTCGTATGATGATTTCGGACTTGTGCATATGTTCGGATTGGGATTTGGATGACCCGGGAGCATTTCGACACCTGTTGTGGAAGTTAGCATTTTGGAGGAATTTCATAAATTTGGGTTGAAGTGCATTTCAATATTATCGATTTCCGTTTGGGATTCCGAGTATGGGAATATCTCCGTATGGTGATTCTGGTATTGGGAGCGCGTCCAGAAGTGGATTCGGAGGTCCGTAGGTCATTTTGGAGTCATTTGGAGAAAGTTAGAAATTTGAAGGTTTTGAGGAGTTTGACCGGAAGTGGACTTTTTGATATCGGGGTCGGATTCCGATTCCGGAAGTTGGAGTAGGTCCGTAATATCGAATGTGACTTGTGTGCAACATTTGAGGTCAATCGGACGTGATTTGATAAGTTTCGGCATCGAATGTAGAAGTTTGAAGTTCTAAAGTTCATTAAGCTCGAATTGGGATGTGATTCATGATTTTTAGGTTGTTTGAAGTGATTTGAGGCCTCAAGCAGGTCCCTGTTATGTTTTAGGATAGGTTGGTGTGATTGGACGGGGTCCCAGGGGCCTCGGGTGTGTTTCGGGATGGTCTCGGACCATTTTCCTTAGTTTCATGATTGCTGGTTTCTGGTGTATCAGGTATGCATCGCGACTGCGGAATGGAGGACGTGATCGCGAAGAGCAAATTGGACTGGTGGGCACAGATGTTCTATGCGATCGGCGGAAGTTGACTCGCGATCCCGTAAGAGGGAGT